CCTTTCATTTTGTGCTAAACAAAGGCAGAACAAAGGACGATAAAATGATCACTATTTAAAAACACTGCCCAAAAAGCACTGACTCCTTCCACTAGAGTCCTATGATCATTTCTTGCTCAAAGTTTTTGCTCTTGGAGGTGGTGCCTGTAAACACATTCACTACAATTTCTCAGAGGGAAAAATCCCTTGTTCCTGAACTATTCCAAATGCATAGCATCTGAACCATCTGAAGGCATGGCCCACCTTCAGGGCTGGCCTGGCACAGGAGTGATCTTCAGCACAGCACAAAGACTGCTGAGCTTGATTTCTCCCTTCTCCTAACTCCATCAAAAATGCTCTGCTTCCCAGGACCTCAGTCCTGCAATAAAGACAAATGGCAGCATCTCTCTCCTTAATGGGTTTAAAGAGAAGGGGAAACTTATGAATAGAAAATGGCAAGACTGTATCATTAACATTCATGAACATAGCAGATTTAAAAAACGAGAAGGTTTATATTACCTGGGGTAATATTACTACTACAGTTTAAGACATTCCCTGTAAATGCAATTCTTATGGGAATCACATTTTCATTGCATTTTTTTTTAATTTGCAGTTTACCTAAACAATATATTTTCTTTCAGCTGACAGTGTGAGTTATTTCATTGCACTCAATAAAATTCAGTGTCTGAAAAGCCTAAAGTCAGTTTTCTTGTTGTAGAGTAAGACCTATACATCCTCCACGCTAAATGCACCTTTCAGGAAACAAAGGGGTTTTTTCCTGGTATTGGGAAGAAGTGTTTTTATAGGGCTTCTGGTGCCAAAGAAAATTTATGAACTCCTGAGGTGTGAGGATATGGCTCATTTCTGAGGTGATAAAAAAACCCCATTTTATTGCCTATTGTTTTACACTGGATGCTGTTAACTTTTACCCCACGCCACAGAAACTGATAAGACAGAAGAAAACTCTGTTTTGCTGAGTATAGTAGGTACTTTTTTGTTTCTTAAAAGCAGCAAAGATATGAAACCCACATGTGCCCATTTCAAAAGAAACTGAGTAAATATTCTCAGGGTTCTAGCTCCCAGCCAGATTACAGAAGTGAGCTGCAGCCAGCAGAAATGAACAGGACTGACCAATCTTTTTTTCTTTAGCCGCTGAGAGTGAGGAAAGATTTTACATGTCAAATTTTGTTATAACTATTTCAGGCCTTTCAAAGAGTTAAAAATACTTTCAAGTTTTGCAATAAATATATTCTAAGGCTCTGCAACTGGATCCTATCTGCTTCAATGCTGGTGAAAAAAAGACAAAATTTTGAGCAAATTTTACTGTGTCAGCAAAAAAAGCTATTAAACATAAAAATATATTTTTAAAATTTATTCTACCCATTTATTCATCTATTGATTTCACAATCTGCTGCCCCCATTCCTACCCTTTTAATCTCTTGTCAAAGCTAGTTTCGGCTACCAAGAAAAGTTTGTTACTTTGGACAAGATAGGGATCAAAAAAGACAGTCCTTTTGCAATTCTTGACTTGGTATTAACATTAAGATAATGATTAATTTCAAGCAGAGAGTGGAGACACAGAAAAACAGGAAGCCCATAGCTTTAAAGTATTGTACAAGATAAAATCAGATTGGTTCCAATGAAAACTTTAGCACCACAAAGAGTTTTCATATTTTGTTACACGTGGTTATAAAACACACAAGTCAAAATATCTGGCATATGGAATAGCTGAATGCAATGTTTTTGTTAATGCAATGAAGGAAGTTATCCTCCTTGTGTCCTCTGACATTAAAATTTTCTTCCATGTTGAACTGCCAAGTTTTTTTAACATTTTACCTTTCTTCACAGTTTCCTTCTGCCAGCTTATATCAGACAAATCATTAGCATCAAAAAGAAAAGTTCAATTCATACTGCTTTAAGCAGTTACCTGTGTCATCAGGTATACAGAAAGACAGTAACACTCTGATGAAAATGTCACACTATCTTATCAGAGAGCCACAGTTTAAATTATGAGCTTCAGAAAAACAGCAGAAAAATATTTCTGAAGGTAAAAAAACTACAGGCTTTGTTTTCTGCTAAGAGAATGCTGAGCAGGAATTTCTTGACAAATGTTATCACAGTGCTTCAGATAAGAAATTTTACTATAGGCACAAAAGAAACGGAGAGCTTTGAATATGGCCTGCACAGTTCAAAGGAGTAGAGATGAGGAAAAGTTTCTAGATTTCCTGATTTCTGTATTATCAACATATACTGAAGGTCTCCAATACTAAGAAGTTTGCTTAGATGAGATCTACAGTGATCTGGTGACAAACCAAAGCACCTGTAATGAGCAAGGGGAGTCCCAACTTCAGGAAGAAGGGGTTTAACTAACAACTCTTGCAGATGTATCTTATATGCACATGAGATTTTATGCATTTAATAACATCAGGCATTTTGCTTCCCATAGCAGGAAGGCTTTTAATATAGTTTAGATTATGATGTTGGTGGGACAGCAATCACCTGTTTCCTACTGTGATTTCTAATCTATGTAATCCACGAAAGCAACACTGGATTCAAAATGTCTTTCTTCAGTGACGTTTTGCTTCAAGGCAGCTCTACAAATCCCATTTCTGAATTGCCTCCAATCCAGAACTGCTCGTTGCAGTGGACTCTGGTGCAGATATTCACAGATCTGGAAGTGAATTACCTTTCTGTACATGTCCTTCTGTGTTTTCCTCATCTTGTTATGTTCACCTGACAAAAGATAAGTTCTAGAAAAACCTTCCTTCTTATGTGGAAAGAGGAAAGAAAGACTGCCATAAGAAAATCTCAAGAGGAGCAGCAGGTCAGCAGACAATACTGTAAACTATATTGATTTAATCTGCAAGTATTAGCTGCAACAAAAGGTCAGTTTTGGCCCAATTTATCTGCTGCTTTGTGGGACCACCAGACAGCTGGCAGAACAACATGTCTTCTTCCCTGCACTTCATGATGCAACAGCAGAGGGTGTTGCAGATCAGGTCTAAGATACCCCGAGAACAATGTAGGATTTCTTACACACCGCTTGAATATTTTTTATTTTTCTGGCTGATTCTGTTAAGCGGTGGTTTTTTTTGTAAGTATTAGCACCAACTCAGAAATAACCAGAAAATAATTATGATAGGAAAAAACCCTCAAACATATGCATGTATGAAAAAAGGAGGAGAGAGGAAACTGCTTTCTTACTAATATGTCCAGTCAATAAGTGAATGGGAAAGATAAAATAAAGGTATAATCCACCTAGGGAATACTGACAGAAAGGGGTGAATCTTTGGATTCATGACCCATTTTTCACATGAAATCAATCCCAGAGGAAATAATTGTCCTGTAATAAGTGATCAAATTTCCCCCTGGCACTGGAAAATACAAAAAGAGGACAAAGATTACCCAGCACTTAATGATTCTGGCAGATTGCTTATTTCCCACCTGACAATTTCTAGGGCACCCTGATGAAAAACAAAACCCTGTGTGCTGCTTATTTCATTGTAAAAGAAACGAAAATATATGGTGCACAGAACAGCTAAAGAAGTCATATAAACTCAAAGAAAACTCTCATGGCAGAGAGAGCATATCCTTCTATTGAACCCCCTGCCCTCCTTTTGTCCAACATCCCATGGGGAAACCTTCAAGACCAACTTGTGCAAACCTTTAGGATGACTTCCACATACTACAAACACCGTTATTTTTATTTTTTAATTTATAAAACCAAGGGAAATACCTGATCCCAAACTGGGCATTGCTCTTATGCCAGTACAACACTTTCTTTATATTTATTATAAAGCAAAACTGCTCTATGGCTGGACATGGCACCACGAAGTTACACACCCACCTTCCGAAGAGCTGCCTTACTGCCTGCTTGCAAGCAGACAATGATCCTCTGCAAGCATGTTCAGAAAAGGAATGCCATACTTTCCCCAGTACCTGTATCACAGCTAAATACAGAATTTCCAAAGATGAGTCCTAGAAGAAGGGTTTGATGGACAGTAATGCATAAATCCTGGTTATGGACACAAATCCATAATTTCTCCAGAGTGACTTGACTGACTACTGTAATAGCTGCTCTCAGAGGCCAGCCATCAGTTGCATGCATTACAAACTAAATTTAATCTTTGTTCCAAGTGCTTTGAATATACAGCTTGGTACAAAACATATTAATTTCACAATGACACAAATGCAACCGAGTCACAAAGGAAGAAGGGAAGTTTTACCCCTGCTTGGTGCACACAATGTTGATGGGCCAGTCAAATGTAAGCAAGAAATCAATTCTGCTGGAACGACATGCACAGCCCTCCAGAAGCATTATATCTAATTTTAGCACAGGACACAAGACAGCCTTTTAAAGAAGTCAGCAATAAATCAGTGTTGGAGGGACAGATTCGCGCAGAGAACCCTTTCAGATTGACCATGGGGTACAAATTAAGGAGTAGGCTGAGTGCTCTCCATTTTCATTTCTCGACTCCAGACTCCTAAGTCTTTTTCCTCAGCATGCTTTGTATTGGAAGTGCTGTAAATGCACATTCTTATTTGTACTCTACCTAAACTCAGCTCAGTTGAAGGTTCATTTCATTTCAACCCATAGTCAAGGCTGAGAGAAAATAAATAACCTGGTCCTGGAGAATCATCAAAGTGTCCAGCTCCCCAAACCATTCCTTGAAGGTTTATTTAAGTACATATTCTTGACACCATTTTGACAATATTTTGATAGTATTATTTGAGAACTGAGTATGACACAATTAAAAGAAGAAGGCACTTCAGTGGAAAATGGGAAGCTTTCTGGCAGGTGGAAAGATCACTGAGCAACAAGTGCAGGCAAGGAAAGAAAACCTCACAGTAACATTAAAGATAAAAGTGGAATATGTTACCTTCCCCATCATCAAATCTGCTCCCTAAGAGGGAGATAAACTTCTTCATTGACTGAACAAGAAAGAAACACATACCCTTCAGCAGCCACGGAGATTTAGCTGAAATTTCTGTAAGAACAGCTTTTTAATGGAAAAAGTTACCTGGATTTTTGTAGATGCTAAGCACATCCTTGAAATAATGAGGTAAGAATCTTTCTAATAAAAGCAGCACGTCCTCCAACTCCTCCAGAATGCCCACAAGCAGAAAATTTTCATTAACGTTCAGCTTTGCTCTTTCAAGGGCCCATTCACCAGGCTCCCTGTATGAAATTGAGGGGGGAAGATGGAGAAGGGAAAAAGAAAAGTTGAAATATACATTTATTTCTCAAATTCAAGCCAAGAACACAAGTGAATAAAAAATATTCAGTGCTATACTTAGAACAAAAAAAGACTCCCCCACCAAACCCAAGTAGTTTACTGAGCTTTTCCACACAACATTTATAATTGGATTGGCATGTAAAAACAGGATCATGTCAAAAGGAGGCTAATCATTGTGTGAAAGTACTCCATTCTGAAGGGAACTTCTGCCAAGTTGTTTATAAGCTCAAACTTGTGAACTTTGGTATTTCAACTTGGAAGCACAACCCATGTGATCAGAGGGATGACTGCCCTTGGTGTTGGAAGGTGCTGAGGAGTGGTGGTGTCCCTGAACTACATCAGGAGAGCTGCTGGGACCAACCACTGCTTGCTATTACTGGCGAATCCTACACAGGACACTACCATTTTCCACCTTGTCCTTCATTTTGCCAAAGTCTCTAGGAGCTTCCCTTCCCCCTGTCATTACCCCCAGTTGCCCTCCAGCTCTGCTACAGGATTTGCATTTTTTTGCTGTGACTGATACTGGTTTTGAAGAACAGTTTGGGGTTCTTCTGTCCTTTCTCCTAGCAGGAGAAGCTGGCAGGACTTCACTACATCTTTATGCTTCTCTGTTTCCCAAAAGCACAATGTAGTTAGACAACCATACAAATCCTAAATCCCATATAATAATTCATATTAGTTATGTTCTGGGAGCAGCAGCCATCATTCATATTGACACAGGATATAATGCCAGTGTCCCAGGCTAAAGGAATCAGCTCCCCACACTGCCTGGGAGTAGCTGTAAATCACACCTCTTCCATGACTTCTTTAGGTTATTGCGGATCCTAGGCAATAGTGAATTTAACACTTGTCTGAAGCTCTTTCTTTGTCATGTGGAAAAGCCTACTACTTTCCACTCCTACTAGAGCAGACTTGTAGCAGGTTTTTCATGCTCTACGACCTTCTGGGCACTGATCTGTTTTCTGGAATAGCAAAGTGTCCTAACAAACACTATGAGCCTCCTGTTTGTAGCTCCTTATGGGACTAAGTAGAAGCTGAAGGAAGTTCAAGGGCATAACAAGAGCCAAATCTACAACAAGGTACAAAACAGTATTCAATATCCTCCTTGGGAACCTCACAGAGATATTTTGTGAAGGTATTCAGGCATGTGACTGCCATTAATGGGATTATTCGTGCAGGCAAATTAAATGTGCAACCATAAGCATTTGCAGATAAGGCCAAAATATGTTAAAAAATGTGCAATGAAAATGAAGTTGTTAACTTGTTTTGTTTCTTATACATAAGTTCAGTTAACGAAAAAAACCAAAAAGGCAGGATTTTACAACATGGATACTTCTTCTGTCTTTATTTGTAAGTAATACATTTTCACTTGTTATTACTGCTACAAGAAGTATGGCTTTTGAAAGAAATTCTGGAAAATGTGCAACTGTTTCATTATGGAGAAGCTTGAATAATACAGAAACAGAATACCTTGAACACACCTACCAAAGAACATTTGTTACTAAAGTGTTTAAAGCCAAGAAAGTATTTAAAATGATTCCTATAGTATTGTATAAAAATTTACTAAAAATATGGTATCAGTAACTCAGCATTATTAGAATGGTGTTCACAGACGTTAAATGAGGTAGCTCAATTAAAGCAGTAGAGGGCTGTATTTTATATGGTTTTAAGCACAAACACAGTTTCTCACATGGACACAGAAACATGTACTTCTTATCTAGACCTGATAGAAGCATCTGAGCAAATCAGAAACACGTATTACAAAATTAAAGTGCAGATAAAATGAGTAACCCAGAAAAAAATACACATAAATACATTCATATTTGATGAATTATTCATGCGATAAATCAAGAAAAAAGAATACTGCTACATTTGCAATAGCCTCCTTACTTCAAAATATATCCATGCAGTTACCACATGCAGTGCTGCATTCCTTGTACTTTCATTTTTCTCTTGTACTTCAAATAATGTCACCTCTTTATTACCAACTTCTGACAAAATGTTTGCAATAGCTGTTGCTGAACAAATTGAAATACCTTGCATATATTTACCTGCATCTTGGATGCTGTCCACAGAAATATGGTATGATGTAAAATAACCTGGGATTAGAACATTCAGGGTAGTTTTCAAGGATACATACATTAATGTCCTGTGGGGGAGGAAAAAAAAATACTGTATTTTCTTTTCTCTATTAGCAACTGCTTTCTTTATCTCATACATTTTACAGTCATCTCAGGGTTAAAGAACTGTGCCAAGGCTATAACAAGTACCTTAAAAATCATCTATTGGTCCATTTATCTACTTCTAAATATCAGCAGGGGAAACAAAAAGTTATTTTGTCCTAGAATGCACAAAGCAATTTTTTCTTCCTTGCTGCAAACCCCACAATTGTTATACTGAGATTACTGTATGAGTTTAAGTGGGACACATTAATCAACTTTCATACTAAATAACATTTAAAATATTCAAAAGATTATTTTCAGGCTCTTCTTTCTTCTAAATACACCCTGGAGAAAACCTGAAGTAGCCAGAATAAATAAAATTGAGACAACATTTATTACTTTGCTCCTCCCGCCCCCCCTTTTTTTAAAATTCTGCGGCATTCAATGACTGGAATGAACAAATGTAAGATGTAATTTGTACATCTCACTCAATATTATAACATGCATCCCTTTTGGTTACAATTCTGTAAACTTAGATTTTCAGAACTGAACTGTGCGAAGCCTGCTGAGAAAATGGGTTATTAGAAAGTATTTATCATTTTCATGAAATATCATTCATCTAATTAGAAGCTATTTATCATTTTTCAAAGACTTGGCATAGCTACTGAACCCTGAGGAACTGCATTCCATTTATAGCTTTACTTCAGCACAATAATAAACATGTGGCACTGAATTCCATTATCCAAATCTAATAGAGCCTTACTCTGCAAGCAGACACACCCTCTGCAGAGACATACAGGGCAAAAAAATGGGTAAGACAACTAAAGCAAGTATGGAAGGATCTCACCTGTGCAGAATCAATCTTGTTATTTAGATATGGGCTTTCACAATGCCATAGGCACTATACACATCAGTATCAAACCAACAAATAAAAAAACCCATCATTTATCAAGTAAATAAAATGTGATAGAGAACATTCCACAAGACAGATGTGCTTGGCAGCATGGACAACATGGAGAGCATCCCCTGCTCTCCTTAGAGAACGGGAGGGTACAGGCCTCCAGACACAGCATCTGTATCTGAGGCCTCATCAGAGAAAAGCTCTTCTCAGAACTTCAGTCCTCTCACCTAACTGCATTAGATCCCCGTTTCGGCCCGTAAGCCTTTTAAAATACATTTCTGATTCCTACTCTGTCTCACAGTCATGTGAATCCAACTTTATAAGCACACCAGAAAACTGGGCTAGGAAGTAAATCACATGGTGAGGAACCATTAAAGAAAATAACATAGAAATTGCCAGCTGGGATACAAACAATCCATTTCCCCTGCTCCCCACAGTATATTTCAGGGCTTGCCTTAAATACATACCAGAAGATTTATGGTCAAGACCTGAATTTTGACATTAAAGGCTCTGAGCTGAAGCTAACCAGCCTCCCATGCTCCATGCTATTACTAAGAAATCTTACTGTGGATGTATAGATTGCACATGCAATGTGTCTCTCCTGTCATCTCAACAGGGCTTTATAACATGAATTACAAATTGCACCTCTTTAAAGGTTTATTGTGCTTTTTCTATAGACACCAGAGATGTTTTCAGTAATACATATTTTTAGCTTTCATAAGAAACTAAAGACCTGCAAAAATTAATAAATCCCTTGGATTAAAAAAAAATGAAATATTGCCCTGACAATACTTTAAATTATGTCCAAGCTGGCTTGCACTTGATAGACGGAAGATGGGTAATCCATAAAACGGATTAGATGGAAGGTGGGTAGAACACCTTCCATAAGGTGTTCTTAAGACATAAGACTTAAAAATCTCTACCAACACCCAGCTAAGAACATTTTCTCTTTTCTCACTGTCATACAAAGGCAAAAGGACATTAGCTCCCGATAAAGAAACTTACAATTTCTTTACAAGAATAATGAATATGATGAGTCAAGAAATATTCCCTGACATGAGTATCAATACCCAACACAAAAGTGTAACTGGGACCTTCTGGTAATTGTGAAAACAGTATTTGATTCACACGGCCAGAGAAACACTGTACAATAAAAGCAATGTAAATTCATATGGAAAATCCGGCAGCTTTAGCAAGCAGACAGCTGATACTAACTGAAAAAGAGATTTTTAGTGTCCTTTTTAGGGTAAATTTATGCAGGATTACTGAAACAACCAGGCTGGCTCTAATCTAATCTCATCTCCCCCATTCCTTGTTGATAGCTCAGGGTTTAAGATAAAGGCCAGATGAGCTTTCATACAAACCTACAATATTTTGCCACACAAAGACCTGCACTTCACCCTCCTGACATCAGAAGCACCAGGCTTTCTCTGCAGTAAAAGCACTGCCCCTTTCCAGGCTTTGTTTTCCACCACTGCTATGATCTGTATTCCAGCTGCTAGAGTGTCCTCGAGCATTTGCAGCCCCTGCTCAATCCCTGAGATGTAAAATCAGTTTTCAACCAAAAAGTGGGTGAAAGAAAGGTCAGCCTGAGGTGAGCTAGTCATTACAAAACTTAAACACACCTACAGGAGACGCATTTTGGTGCCAGTGGCACACAGGAATTTCTGGTGTTTTTTCCCAGCATGGAAAGTCAAGGTGAAACAACATTATCCCAGGCAGTGTCACTCCGCTATCCTAAGCAACATTAATTAAGCCACATCTCCAAGTAAGAACATGCTTTCTCAGCAGAACACAGATCTTTCAGGGCAGAAAAGTTTCTACGTGAGACAAAATTTTGCAAGGTGACAGATGACAGCCGTGCTCATTTAAATGACTGGAGGAGCCTTGTAAAAAAATTATTTTAACACAGTCAGGAAAGATACAGAAGGAAACACACAGAGCTACTTTGATCATAACCTTTCAAAACAAAGAAAGCAGTATTTTACTTCATTCCTCAGATCCTGGCTACAATTCATATCACTCACATCCCATGGGGCTTGTGTCTTCAAAGGGGCAGTGACAGGCCTGGGAATCAGCCCTGCAGCTCCAAGTAACAACAGAAACTATCTTTCTTTTAAATAATACTCTATTTTTCTACTCATGTAACAATTTTGTCTGAAAAGTTAAACCAGTAATTTCTGCTTCCTTCTTCTGTAAAATTGTCTTTGAAATGAAAATCACAACATGCCATAATCCTTTAATCTGTCAATGAGTCAGACAACTGAGCAGAAATATATCAAAGCTGCATTACTGTTTTCTTTTTTTGAGATTAGTAATAAGCTATTTCATTTGCCATAGTGAGCTTAACGTGCTATAAGAGAAGTCAGCATCTGATTAAAAATATTTCATAGAATAATTGAATCATCAGGTTTGGAAGAGACCTTTAAGATCATCTAGTTCCACTGTTAACCCAGCACCACCACAATCAATCCTAAACCATATTCCCAAATGTCACACCCGGATGCCTCTTGAACACTTCCAAAGATGGTGACTCTATAATTGCCCTGGGCAAGTTATTCCATTGTCTAACATCTCTTTCAGTTAATTTTTTTTTTCTAATATCTAATCTGAACCTCCCTGATGCAACATAAGGACATTTCCTACCATCCTTTCATTTCCTCCTCACTAAAACTCCTTTCAGGTAGCTGTAAAGAGTGAAGGACCACAAAATTCCTTTGGGAATTTTAATTCCATCACAAAAAGAGCAAGCTTTAAGGTGTTCTTTTGCAGAACAATAAGCAATTTACTCAAGTCAATGTCTTATGACAAATACTGTACCATATACAAAAGGATGTGACACAAGATTTGAGAACTTTTTTCCTCCAAATACAAAATCCTATGAGTACGGACAGAAAGAATAACTTGGTTTTTATTCAGTGGAAGAAACACACACACAAAAAAAATCATATTGGGTTTCAAGGTGTAGTAGCCTACAGCTGGCCTGTAGGCCTCAAAGTATAAATAATTATAAAATCATAACAGAAATATGTAATCAGTTACATAATTGCCTTACTTACATAATTCAACCAATAAGAGCAGGCCCAGGTCATTGGAGACTCAGGCTTCTATTGGCTGGCTGACCAGGAAGTAACTGGCTCAGCCAATGAGGATTAACCTCATGGATATATCCTAAGATATATCAGGGAGCAAGTTTGGAATAAAGTGGACTGCTGCTGCATGAACTCAGCGTGTCTTGTCACTGGTCTGTCTCCGAAACTGTGACAAGTGGTGGACCACGACGTGATCACAACAGCTGCTGCCAATAGAGTGGGGAGACAGAGGGGACAACCAGGAAGAGCTGCCTGCAGCCTTTGAGCTATGAGGAACGGCATACAGAGCCGTGATTGCTTCGGACCCCCCTTTAGTTTTGCTTTTAATTTTTCTTTTTGTAACTGGAAGACACCACCAGCATGGGAGCATGGGCTTCAACACCGGAGGACCCCCTCCTGAACGTATAGACACCTACTTTAAAGAAAAGATTTGAAAAATATGAGGAATGGACTTTATTTGCCCTCATAACATAGTGTGAGAGCCACGGACTGGATGTATCAGAAGGGGCTGCGCTAGATTTAAAAACCTGGGAGCAGACTGGACAACATATCTGTACAGCTGTCTGCACAGGAGATGACTGCCATTTATGTTATTAAACCATGGGGACTCATAATGAACATGATAAAAATGCTGCAGAGGCAAAAATGTTACTAGGCAACTCAATGGCGGCTGCTGTAAGAGTGTCACCTCAGTATTGTAAACAGAAACAGCAAGGCCATCTGAAAACAAATTGTTCCTGTAAACCCATCTTAACAAGGACAAATCCTCTCAAGGACCAGGGAAATGAAAGACTCAGTGTGAGGAGGGGATGCATGAAGACAAAAACATCTCCTCACCTTCCTGTGGTTTATGTGACCAGCACACAGGAAGGACTCAGGGAGCAGCTGGAATGGATGGATTCACATCTGACACAGTAACCATATGCAACCCAAAGGTACATAAGATTCCTCTTGAAGCTCAAGGACCTATCGGGAAAGGATTAAGTGCACTATT